CACTTGAGGGTCATTGAGGTTTACACCAGCATGCAGCTTTATTAGTGAGTAAAACATTTCTAGGATGGGGACCAGAGTAAAAGTAAAAATAAATAAATAAAAATACTGGTAACAAAGTAATAAAAACACTTATTGTTCTAAAGACTCTTTTGTTATTAGGTTCTCATTTAATTGATTTATTAGTAATGTTTACATGTTGTAACCATAAATTGTTGAGTCTCAAGTTTCTGGTATTTTGTGTCCCGAAAGGTGAAAATTTTGGGGACCACTAATGTGAAGAACATTTAAAAAAAATAGATCAAATTCATGTCCACTCAAGAAACCATTTAATTAAAGTTTTAATACAACAAATTACAAAAAATGAATTATTAACATTAAGCTGGACCAAAGCAAAAATTGTCTCAGTATAAAGTTTTCATTCAGTTTTTTTGATCAACAGTTTGTGTAAACACAGTTTATAATCAACTGATTGCACAAAAATAACAGAAAATTAAATGTGTCCTTAAACATATTCCACAATAAGACTGACTGAAGCGGCTTGTTGATTTGTTCATAAGCTTACACACACACATGAACTTCCATCGGTTATCAATATTCAGTAATTACAAGTTCTGAAAGTGAATGATGTAAAACTGTAATCAGAAATGTTTGCGCCTTCAAGAGTGACGTGAGCAGTGGAGCAGCCTTCAGTCCTCGGTGAACATCATCCTCACCAGCTGTGATTTGAAACACTCCTCCTCCACCAGCTTCTGAGGCTGAAACACAGAGACGACACACAGCTTTCAGGTCTCCTCTCGCCGCCACGGACACTTCTGAATAAAACATTTTGGAAGGAATGTGACGCTTCTATATATTTCTCAACTAACTTTTAACGACCTGATTTTGAAACAATAAAGGAAACATCTATGATCTCTGTTAATGAAACGAGCTGATTTAACTCTCTTACTGTGCCGTATCGCAGCAGAGTGGGAACTCCAGTCAGCTTCAGGGTCTTCTTAAAGTCATTATTAGGATCCTTCCAACTAAAACAACAAACAGACATAATAAGGAAAGTTTTAGTATAGCAGTATGGAAAAAATAACAATAATGTGAGCCATATGGACTTTAAGATTAATAAAATATTGTTTCAGAGCCAAGAAGTATAAAGAGTCTATCACTGTGCTGATGTTTAATCTAAAATACTTTAACCACTTTAAAATGTTTATTATACAAATTAAATCAGAAAACAAATTTAGACATGGTGCAAATGTACAGGTTATACATTTAACCACACAATAAAAC